TCAAGTGACAAAAAAGTAATCTTACCGCTCTGCCAAGGCTAGCCCTTTACTATGCACTAAAGACAACTCTTTTGTTTTATATCAAATCTTTCCTTGATATAATATGTTTCTCATCAAACATAAAACATATTGTATTACTCACCACTCCCTCCACATTTCGAGAACTAAACCAATCATTTTGTATCTATCCACTTTTAGTCACAGACAACTAAAGGATCTCAAATTATTAAGTTCCATCCATGTTGTCAATACAAGAATTCAAATTATTATTGCGAAAATATTTTCACTAAATAGGTTAAATCAAAGGGAGAGCCCAAGGAAATATTTCTATCAAGGACTATGCTAGAATTCCCACCACAAAGATATATCTTCCTATAGAAAGAAATCCCCACTTAGACATCAAAAAGAAACTCTTATATTCCATACCCAACACATACCACCATTTTGATGGCCGACAATGACTATAGATAGTGGTGTAAAAGTACATATGAATGAGCATTTGACTGAGATTGAATAGTAAGATATGCGTGTTGATTAGCCTAAAAAAGAGAAGACTAAGTTTTTTCTTCAATCTTCTTGTCCTCGCACCGATTCAATTCATCTTTCTCCTTAAAGAAGCCCAATTTCACATATAGAATCTTCCCTTTTCAAACCAGTCTCAAATACTTTACCATCATTGTCAAGACTATTCACAAGACTATTGTTGGTATCTTCAGTCATGTTAGAGTCAAAGATTGTCTCCTTAATATCAATGTACCCTTATTCGACCTCCAGTGCAATACATGTTCATTCCCCATCGCAGCCCCACACCTAACTTCAAAATGATTCCCCTCTCTTCTAGAACATCAAAGCAACATTTGACATTATACTTCTATGAAACTCCATCACGGTACACTTTCTTAAATNTATTGAAGAGAATTTTTAAAAATTTAGTTTATCATCAATACATTATAGACGAATTTTGAGATTTAAAATAACATCGTATTTTACTTTAGTATGTGATTGAGTTGAAATGTAATACCATAAGTTATTTTATGGTTTGTTCATATTTTCTTTAATTAAATGGAAATTGCTTTTACTATTTTAATAGTAATCTAGTGTTGAATTCTAAAATATTTTTTCACGCTTAGAAATGTTTTGTATAAATTGGTAAAAAAAAATTTTGTAATAGTTTGCCCCCTCTAATTGGAAATCCTAGCTCTGCCCGTGCATTCGACCCATCGATGCTTCCCCTGGTTGTGTTATTTGGTCCTCAACATCAACAATCATTTGCCTACCATCACCCCAACTCATCATACCAGCGAACATTTCCAACATTCCTCTCCATCCATTGTTATTATTCCATTGATGATAAACAACAAATCCTCTCTGTTCAGAGCTATAAGCTCTAAAAACCGAAAGAAAATTCTAGTTTGCATTGTCAGCTAATGTTTTTTCCCAACCAAGTAACCCATCACAACCACAATTATCAAGATCNACGTTAACCTAACTTTTTGATGCATACAAACTCTATTCACCCTTCTTTGTTCAGGTGCCATGTAACCTTTTCTGATCGTCCTCTACATCTATCAAGTGGATGCAAATCACCTATCACCGACTCTTTGTTGTGAATTCCTACAAGCATTAAACACGTCACCAAACCTAGATCATACTTACTTTGATCGAAAAGTTTTTCCCTTGAACATCTACTTCCAATGAAGTCAGAATGTAGCCACTTTCCATCTTACCAACCTTGACTTTTGATTAGCCTCAACAAAGCCATAACAACACTGTCCAATCTTCCAAAAAAACTTTGAGAATCCAAAAATGAAATGGCAATCCCTCAATTCCTATCCACTTCTAAAAAATAAACTGTTTTCTATCTAAATTAGACTCAGATATCCAAAATTTTCGATGCAACCATCAAAGGCTCTTTCAAAAAACTCTTCTTTTTTATGCAGATTACATCAACCGTCTCCGTGTTCGGACAAAAAACGTTGTTTTGTCCACCAGGTATCAAAATTGAACTTCAAAGATTTGGCAAAGTATCCTGAATTTTCCTCGAAGGCAAAAAACTCTCTCCAATACAACCCACAACACAATTCCACCTTCCATAATCGGTGAGAAACAACTCAGGATTTGATACCTATTCCATTCGACCAAGGGCGGAGCCACATAGGGAGGAGGGTGGGCTCTTAGCCCCCGCTAAGTTTTTCAATTTTTTTATTTATGTATTATTAAGGACTAATAGATTAGTTATTTTAATACATTTGCCCCCCATGATTTTAGAAAATGTTTACAATGGTCCTAACTTATTTTTAATTTTTGGCAAGTTAATGGCCCATTGCCTC